TCAATTGCGTTATCCGCCCAACAAAGGCGGATATAGAAGAGTGCCTTTTTTGCCTTTAAGTGGCATCAAGTTATGTCTATACCAAATTCCATTAAAATTAAAAATAAAACTTTCCGTACCAAATTTCACCCTTCAACTCGGAAGGCAAGTGACCCAAATGATAAAATTATCTTAATTTTTCACTACCAGATTATTTCTTTCTGACATAAAATGTGTTTCAATAATTTTCAATAATTCTAAGATAGCAGAAATTCTTTGTTAAACATTACATGGCAGGAATTTTTGACACCATGATTTACGTGAACAGAAAACGTTGACAATAACTGAATTTGTGCAGTTTGAAGAGAATTTGCACGTTATTATATTAATCATATCGCTTTGTCTTAACCATCTGTAAAGAATACATAAGTCTGGATAAAATTAATGGATGAATACTTGTGTAGCACTCAGAATCTTATTCCTGTGGATAACAGTGATACTGATCATATCATTGTTACTGATAAAAATAACAGTAACGTATACTCAAAATTTTGTATCACAAGACCATTGTTCAGTCTAGCTCCCCCTCCAAAAAATCATTGTTTTATAACATACTCTTAGCCTGGAAAAAGTATGAAATTCGAAATCTGAAGTACGATTTAAATTGAAAATATATTGATTTCGCAATAAAGTAAAATTTAAATATTTGTAAGTTGCAGAAAGGAAAACTAACATACTTATGCAACAATAAAAGGCTGTAACAAGCAATTCGAAATTCAGAATGTAATTACATTTTAATGGGAACTCTTTACCTAGCAACAAACTGTCTGGTTCTTTCAGAGGGATCTTGAATTTAAAAGAGATTTCTTCCTGAGCTAAGTACCTTGTAAGGATCCTAAGGTTTACTAACGTTTATTTTATTTTAAAACTGTACTATCACTTCTTATTTTCTACTTCCGGCCAGAATTAAATGCTTCAACTTGTTTATGCAAATAGTCTTGCTAACGCCCAAGTATTTAAGTTGTGGCTTTTTGCCAAGAGTTAAAGGACAGAGAAGGAGATTTAGGAAGCAAGCCGCTTGCCACTGCAGTTTTTACGAGTTTTCACACAGTTGCTGGTTGCCTTTAAGGTCAGAGGTTTAGCTCTCTTGATATTTGAAAACGTATTGTAGTTTTGGGCCCACCAGCGGCCGAGCGGTAAAATCGCTGAACACTGGTAGTTCGGTCCGAGGTTCGAATCCCGCGAACGGGCTGGCTGCATGGGCGTTTTCGTGGTTTTCCCCATGTGTAACGTGTATACGAGCCAGTTTCCCTTAAAAAGTCCTCCACGAAGGCATCCCTCCCCATAGGCAGATAGCCCTAGTGTGCTTTGCCATAATTAAATACACCAACACCGTATGGTAGTTTCAGCAGCTCGGCGTACTACATACGTACCCTTTTAAATAAAGGCCAATCTTAGAGCTAGGCATTTGTATACTAATTCTTAGTTAGCTTTTAGTTAGAGTTTTAGTTAATAGTTTTATATTTCTTACGTTCCGGCAAGTGGTTGGTCTCTGTATTTCGAAGTTCGGGAGTATCTGTAAAGTATAGAAAATAAAGGGTTTCGTATACCCTTCCTGCTTGTGTCGTCTATTCCACACATTTTTGAACATAGCTTGAATAAGCTCCCTGTTCTATTCAGCACACATCATGTTTCCAAAGCAAATTAAGAGAAACACAAGTCCTGACAACCTGATGCTATTACTCACCTGGGGGCTTTAAATCCGACATTCAAGCAGCAGCAATACTGAGTCTGAAACTTGATACGGAATTCCACAAGGGCTTGCTGATAGCTCAGAACATGAATTCTCGTTAAATTGTGGATGTCTTACATTCTTAATTCTTATTTACGTAGCTCAGTATAAAAAATAAATGATATTACAAAGAGAGAAAGTTTTTTTTCCTTTCCACAGTAGGCCTAACTGGGTTAGAAAATAAAAAGTAAATTAATTTCCTTTTTTTTTTTTTTTTTTTTTTCAGTCGAAGCATTTCACAATTCAGGAATAGTTTCTCTTAAGTTTTTCCTTAATTGTACAACTTTGGAAGTTCATATTTAAATTTTTCATCTGTTAAATACTTTTTATTAAATCGATATTTAAGGTTAAGAATTACATAAACTGCGAAAATGGGAAGAAGCTGTTCTAACTTTCTCTGAAGAAAATAATGAAGTTTAAAAGTTAAACATTTTTAGCCATTATTACATTTTAATGACGCAGAGTTAGTATTATCGATAAAAGCTGAAAATGTTTGCATTTTAAATGGCGTAATTCTTTTGCTTTTTGTTTAAAAATTATTTGATGAATAATTTTACATCATGCGGAGAAGGCATGGCTGTAACTGTCCCTCCCTTCACAGGAAGCAATGGTGGCCCACCTACTAGGTGCCTCCATAATAAAGTGGCCACCACTTCTGGCGTTAGTAGTACTTAAGCCGAAGTCAGCTGACAGCTTACCATTGGTGGGGAATACTATCATGGTGATTTTAATACCATGATACATATCATGATAATTTTACGTACCAAAATATTGTTCAAGAACGTGCAATTTAAATTCGGGGAATATACGATAAAGGACTCGCCCGTAGAAATAAAAATATAAATTTATTTTATTTACATTTTGAACGAGTTCCTAATATTCCGCTTGTACTTGAATATATTTCTTCTGCTTATATTACATTAAAACTACTTAAATTCCTATTCTTAAAGGTTTGGTCATAATTGAAATTTTTTATGATATATAATAGGGTAGATTTCATTAACACAAATTAAACTTCGTGCAATGGTGCACAAGGTTTAATTTCTGGTTCTATTAAAATAGCGATATCACAAAATATTTCAAAAGAGCATATCTTTAGAATTTCAGATACACAGTCTCGAGCGCTAGAGTTAAAAATATTTTTTCCCGTACAGTGTTGCCACTGCTCGCTTTGAAATCTTTGAGTTTCTTAATCAAAAACTCGTTAAAGCTTTATAAAATACGAAACAGATAATAAAAAAATTCCAAATTTGGGCTTTCGGATGCCTATATTTGAGTGGAAGACTACGATATTCAGAAGTTGATATCTCTTGGTACGGTTCTTTTTTCACAGTGCCAGAAACGCACATACATTCATACAGATTCTTCACTATTTAATTTCTTTAAGTGTAATTCAGGGCTATAATATTTGGGGGCAACAATTCGAAAAGTGAAACGCAGTTCTTGTAGTGAATGACGCAAAATTCCAAAAGGAAATTAATAGCCTTTCTGGGGAAACAGCCCATTTTGGCTAAATATAAAAAAATTAAGAAAACGTTTGTCTTATCTCAACATTCAAGTTTTATTTTAGTGTTTTAAATAATTTTAACTTGATAAGTTCTGACGGGCCTTTTGGTTTAAGAATTAATCATCTACATATTAAACATACAGAACATAAAAAAGGAAATCTAATATTTAAAATGATCTGTTGAAATCTAACACCTGAAATCGTAGAAAAATTCTGTGGTATTGTATCATCTCAAAATAACGTTATGTAGAGACCTTACATATATACCGGGTGATCAAAAAGTCAGTATAAATTTGAAAAATTAATAAATCACGGAATAATGTAGATAGAAAGGTAAAAATTGACACACATACTTAGAATGACATGGGGTTTTATTAGAAAAGCAATAATCCGATCAAAAAAGCAATAATTAGCATAACAAATGAAGACAAAGCAAAGATGATGTTCTTTACAGGAAATGCTCAATATGTTCACCATCATTCCTCAACAATAGCTGTAGTCGAGGAATAATGTTGTGAACAGCACTGTAAAGCATGTCCGGAGTTATGGTGAGGCATTGGCGTCGGATGTTGTCTTTCAGCATCCCTAGAGATGTCGGTCGATCACGATACACTTGCGACTTCAGGTAACCCCAAAGCCAATAATCGCACGGACTGAGGTCTGGGGACCTGGGAGGCCAAGCATGACGAAAGTGGCGGCTGAGCACACGATCATCACCAAACGACGCGCGCAAGAGATCTTCCACGCGTCTAGCAATATGGGGTGGAGCGCCATCCTGCATAAAAATCGTACGTTCCAGCAGGTGTTTATCAGCCAGGCTGGGGACGATGCGATTCTGTAACATATCGGCGTACCTCTCACCCGTCACGGTAGCAGTTACAAAACCAGAATCACGCATTTCCTCGAAGAAAAAAGGCCCGATAACATTTTTTTTGGTTCTAATAAAACCCCATGTCATTCTAAGTATGTGTGTCAATTTTTACCTCTCTATCTACATTATTCCGTGATTTATTAAGTTTTCAAATTTATACTGACTTTTTGATCACCCGGTATATTATAAGAAAATACTTAATTGTTCAAGACGCAGCTGTGCATTTATTTTATTCTATCCCAAGCAAACGAGGTGTGAAAAAATACTTCCTCAGCTGGCAATATTTTCTTCTCCCCCCTACAAACTATGAAATCCATGAGTTCAACATAATAAGCATTTCGAAGAGGTTACTTTAAAAGTATTTAATAACGTAAGTTTAATTACCTTCTTCTACTGGCATTCAAGTTAAAATGGCTCGTATTCAAGTAAGGCCATATAAATACCAACGCAGTCATCATGTTCCTGGAATTCGATCCAGCATCAAATTGATGAAATTAATTTTATATTACTAAAATTTTTACTATGCATTAGTTGATAAATATGCTTGTATGAAAAGAAACATTAATTTATTTTGCATAACTGTAGGTAATTGGAAGCGTATCTTGATATTCTAAATACATTTCGAAGTGACTAAACTTCAAATAACATCCTAATGAAAAGTAAATCCAAACAGGGTTTTAATGCGGATTACAGAACAAAGAATATGAATTGAATTTGTTTTTAGATTAACTGAACTATTAGCAAGAAATAATAATTTTTATTACAACTTGATGCTTATATTTATAACATTTTTGACACACGTGGAAATTTTTGCTGAGTGTATTTCATAATGTTAAATTCTTTTCACGCAGCCAAACGAGAGGACAAACCAAAGACTCCAGGTGAGAAAACTGTTTTTTTTTCTAAGAAATTTTGATGAAATTTCTTGCCTAAATCACGAATGTAAAAACGTAAATTATTTTACCACTAAATTCAAAATTATATATATCAGATATGATGTACCAATTATGAACTAATTAACTGTTTATCCTTCACATTAATGAAATAAAATATATGTTACAGTCCAGGAAATAAACTAAGGAGACATTATTATTTGCACACACCATTTATTATTTGCGAGCTAATAAATATGTATATAATATATACCAGATAGACCTTTCGTCTAATTACCAGTTCGCTTTACATTTTCTTTTTCAATTAATAATATATATATATATATATATATGTATGTATGTATATATATAAGAAAAAATTGAAAAAATTGAATTAAATTAAATAAATTTAATTTAAATAAATTAATTAAATTTAAATAAATAAATTAATTAAATACAAATTTAATTAAATAATTCTTTGCGCCATTGCTAAAAGGAATGAAATTTAAATTTAAACAAATTAAATTTAACAAACACGTAAAAAAGCAAATTTAAAGCCAAAAAGATTTAAAAAAATGTGTAAACATATAAAAGACTTAAAAGATTTAATTTTAGAACTAATCTACAATATCATTTAAATTTAGAAGCATAAGCAAATCAAGTACAAAACCAATCCATGAAAATAAATTCACAAATTTAGCAAATTAAATTAATCCAAACATTTTTTTTAAAAAATGCATAAGTGAATGACTGTTGAGCAGGCAGGAGACAGACTTATCAAGGGGAAGTTGCCTCCAAACCTAAATCGGAAATTGACATAATCGAAAGTTCAAGTTTACTTTTATAAAATTGCTCTTACAGTCTGCAAAAAATAATAAGCTGCATCCAATTCGAAGATTAAGGAATAACGCAAGCATCAACATTAACTGAAATAGATAATTGTATAATTTTAGCTTATACCTTCCGTTATACGTTAAACGCGCACGCGTAAACGCCTATGCGCATGTGTCAACGCGGCGCATGCGCAGAAAGTTTTTAGCTTTGAGATCCGGATTATAGATCATTCCGGATTATGGGTGTCCGAATTAACGACTTTTGACTGTAATACAAAAATGAGTGTCGCACTACCCAATTTATACGTATTTGTAGTATGAAACACAATTTATCCTCTTTGGCCGCAATCACTCCTATCATAAGTATGTATAGATATGTCTTTGATGTAATTCTCCGTAATACAAGTTGGTTATAATTAAAGTTCCACTTTGAAATGGTCATAATAGAAAAACTACTAGACCAAATGTTATTAAACTCCGTGATCGTGTAAAGCAGTTCACGAGAATTTATTTTCCGAGGAAAAAAGTTCACCATCGGGGGGAATGGCGCTGAATGCAATATTGTTAAACGGAATAAGACATGAAGACATCGGTTTAAAATGTGTTTAATCGTTTCTGAAATGTGTTACAAAGCATGTTCAATGTGGCGTGCAGGATTTCCGAAAGCAAGTTAAATCGTATTACTGCAGTCTTACCAGCCGCTCTTAGCATATCAGGAGGAATGTTACAGACATGTCGGTGTACCGCATCTTTCAATTCCACCAAATTGTTTGGATTATCACCATAAACACTGCTTTCGAGATAACGCCATAGCCAAACGTCACAGAGGGGTTGAGGTCTGGTGATAAGCGGCCAAGAAGTGGGAAAGTGTCGGCCTATAATCCGTCCAGCTGTCGACTGCTCTTCAAAGTAAAATGGTCCAATGATGAAACTAGTTGTCATACTACACCAAACGGTGACTTTTGGAGAATGCAATGGAACTGAGTAGATAACATGAGGGATTTGTTTGGCACAAATCTTGCAGTTATGGATGTTGACATCGCCATTTGAGTAAACATGGGCCTCATCTGTCCATAAAAATGTTCCATGACCAATGTTTGTCCACTTTAATCAGTGCAAGGAATTCCAAAGCGAGAGGTTTAGGTCAATGTTTCTTCACACGTTGAGCGCCAAGCGCATTTCTTAGGTAATCCCGTTCAGGCCACGCGCGCCGTTTAAAAGCGCTGGTATTGTAGGGCCAGCGATTCTTATCGCAGTAGAAGATAGTTTACGTTTGGGACGTGATTCCTATAGGCATTCATTCAACACGTTACGCGCTAAGTCTGTTTTGTAAATAGTTACATTCTATGCAAAGATATTACGAAGCAGAAAATTAGCATTACTGAAGTGCGGAAAGAATTAGCGCTATCCCTTACAAGTTGTGAAAAAGAAGATATTCCATCGAACAGAAATGCAAGAATATCTAAAAAACGACAACACAAACTCCAAAGAAAACCGGGAAAAGCCTCTGGAGTACAGAAATATTGTAAATTATGTTATAATAAAAATGCAACTGAAGCTGGTAGAATAATGGCTAGAAAAAAGACTGAGACAGTTGTCACATTTTGTAGTAGCTATAATGGAGAACCCTTTTTATGCCTACCGTGTTTCAATGAAATTCTTTAGTCCTGTAATGAATCAAAATTAAGTCAATTTTAAATAATTTTTCTGTAATTCCATAAAACAGTGTAAATTGTATAGTTATATATCATGTTACACGCTGTCATTCAGCGGTGGTCGATGCGGCCTAAACGGACAGTCTAGTGTCAGCCACAGATGCCTGACGCGGCCTAAACGGAAAGTCTATAATGTCAGCCACAGATGGCCGACGCTGCCTAAACGGAAAGTCTAATGTCAGCCACAGATGGCTGACGCTGCCTAAACGGAAAGTTTAATGTCAGCCACAGATGGCTGACGCGGCCTAAACGGAAAGTCTAATGTCAGCCACAGATGGCTGACGCGGCCTAAACGGAAAGTCTAATGTCAGCCACAGATGGCTGACGCGGCCTAAACGGAAAGTCTAGTGTCAGCCACACATGGCTGACATGGCGCTCAACGTGTTAAGGGTATATAACATGTAAAACCTGTGTAAAAAAAGGTTAAGTTAGATTTCGACCTTTATTTCGTTTAGCAATGTTGCATACAGCGTCATTCCCCCTCTCAGGTGGTGAGCTTTTGAACTTTTTTTTTTTTTTTCTTTTGCGGGAAATAAATTCCCATGACCTCCTTTACACGATTACCAAGTTTGATAACTAGTAGTTTTCCTTTTAAGACCATTTCAAAGTGGAACTTTAATCATAACCACCTTGTTTATAGGTAAAGAAACTTGGAATATAAGTGTTCAATCTGCTGTTATGAATGTATTCATATAACGTATATAATTTTAAAATTACTGTCTAATTTCCTTCTTTACATGTAACGCAGTGTAAAACATTTTATATCGCCTTTAACTGCACATTAATCATATTGTTGCGTGCGTACGGGTTCGTTACGAAATGAATGCACAAGTCTGATGAAAAATAAACATAAATTTATTATTATTACAACAGAAATGCTTAAATTTTCTCAAATTATCATGCAGTTTGACAAAATCTCACAGTAGTTATCTTTTAACTACTCAAATGTCCAATAGAACGTTATTCAAAACAGCTAAAGAAAGCTAATCCGCGAATTCGCTACAGTCAACAAGAGCAGTTTTCTAAATAACAACAAACTAAGTAATTACTACTACAAACTGAGAGGTTTTCCTCCTTTTATAAGATTTTTAAATCGCGTGCGAGAAGTTTTTGGTACTTTCTCGAAATCAAAAAGACATATTTATTTAATGTTAAATGCACGTGCTCTTGTATTTTTAATTTTCCGGCTTAGGTCTCTTCTTTTAATATTCGTCACGCGCTGCACTGCGCGGGAAATGAAACTATTTAATTTATAATTGAACTAACATTAGCTTTTTAAATACCAAATTGGTAACACTGCCCCCTTCCCAAGAAACTGCACGTCCCGGGCAGTACAATCCCTGGACAGGAAGCTAAACTTACAACTGTGGCATAAATGCATTAATAAGCATTACATTACAATAATAAACAACATGAACAATAAATGCAACAAATAAAACAAATCAAATGCTATCAAATACAAATAAAATACTAAATGCAAATCAAATACTAAATACAAATCAAATCAAATACACATTTAAAAACAAAAAGGACCATGGTCTTATACTATTAACAATTATTTACATTACGTACTATGGCCATAGTAATGAGCTAACCTGTCGTAATGAACGACTTTAGGTTTAGAGTTCGAAGACTGACGAATCCGAACCACGACGTCATTCAGCCTGTTAGGACGGCGGATGTGTGCGGGCCATCCTAAGGTGACTGTAATTTCGGGCAAAGTCCTTTCCGTCGAGTCGGATTCCAAAACCACACCTTGTCTCCTTCGTGGAATAGATGTTCAGTAGCTCTTGTGTCGTATCGTGTCTTCATCTTCTCCGTCGCCAAGTTGATTCGCTCTCGTGCAAAGTTGTGCATCACTTCAAACCGGGCCTGGAGATCTTGAATATATTCCTCAGACGATGAAGGAGCATCCGGAGGGCGGCCAAACAATAGATCACAAGGCAGACGAAGGTCACGACCGAAGAGCATCTGTGATGAAGAATAGCCGGTAGTCTCGTGGACGTACTTCTTCACGACATATCGCCGAACGCAGAACTCGCTGCAGAATTAATTATTTATGAGAAATAATTATCCGGACAAAAGTGTTGTCGCAGTAGATGAATCTTGGGCATATTTAAATAACTGCAATATAAAGAGATCCATTTATTATCATCAAAACGGGAAGAACATGGTTCAAAGAATCTACTAAACGTTTTCAAAGGGATTTTTGATTGTTGCTAGTTTTTCGCGTAATGGCAAATCAAAAACGAAAAAAAAAAAGGCTAAGATCAACTCCACATACCATCAGGATCATATTTTGTACCCAATTTCAAACATGAAATACCTTCTCTTTAGTCACAGTGTCATCCATCAATGGAACTGCATCAAGACAAAGGAAGCAGCCACACGTCAATATCCACTGTTAGTTTCCTGGAAAAAAAATGGAACAATATTTAGAAGGTATATAAGTAAAGCCCATACCCTTCATTTATATACATAATAAATCTCCTGAAAGTATGGAAGTTTTGAGGTTTTGGACTTTTAAAAAGCGGATTATCGAACTTTGACCTACAACACTTCTTGGACTTTGGAAAGTTGTTCAAGAGTAATGTGATAAAACTCCTCTTTCGATACTACAAAAGGCTTAATTGTCTTAGAAATTACCGAACAGGAGATAGTGAAGAATAAGGGTTGTCAAAAAGAACACAAAAAAATTTAGAAAAAATATTTCTGTAAGTACAATGAAAGTCATCTGTTGCACATATTTTGCAGAAATTTGACTTTCGGGTTGTTTCTTCTCCCATCAATAAAATTCTGAGTTCCATACTTAAGGACCCCGTTCCGGATATGAATTCCTGGGATATTTATAGGATTCCTTGCCATTGTGGTTTAATTTACATTGGCCAAACTAAGAGAGCCTTAAAATTTCGCGTCAAGGAACATGAGGCATATGTTAGAAAAAAGGAAACACAGAAGTCTTCTGTTGCGCAACATTGTTGGTCCGAAAATCACACTTTTCAATTTTTTTTTCTGCTGCCAAAATTTTCAAAAAAACATCTTCCATTGGAGAACTGGATTTTCTAGAGGCATTTCACATTCATAAAAATCTTTCTGTTCTAGTTACGATCCTAATTCCAATCCAAATTTGCCTTCGGCCTTTAAAGAAATTATGTTTTAGTTCTGGTTTCACCAACAGATGGCGCCACTTGCTTATTCTTGTCCATGCTTTCTTATCTAATCATTTTTTCCTATCTTGTTCATTTGCGGTTTTGCAGCTGAGGACGGTGATTCGGTAAAACCATCGAAACTAGTCCTGTGGAAATTTTGTAAATATAACGCTGATTTTTGTTGTTTGTCTTCTGAATTGATACTTAGATATTTACAAAAATTTATACTTCGCTTGCACTATTAAATTTGAATTCCTTTTCGAATTAATGAGTCCACATTTTTTTGCTTGGTATGAATTATTCTGTTTTATAATATGCCCTCTATTGTCTTAAAATTTAATCAATTTTCTTTATAAAATTTTATGTATCATTCTCGACTAAGTGTCGCATCTTTTTAGTGTTAAAGGGTCAACAACATTATAAAGATAAAATTGCCTTTAGCTTTTATTTTACAACGATGGCATAGTATTTCAAACAATTTCATATAGAGTTTTACAAATTTTTATCAAAACTCGCATTTTTTGTTTGAGCCAGGTTTATTTCAAATGACGGTAAGATAGTTGTTCAACATTGGTTATTGCTCGTGGTAATAGCTCCAAAGTCCTAAGAAATAACTTTTCTTTGATATATGTCACTATCATAAAATGTTTAGCATTTATGATGGTAATCGCTTCAAAAAAAGGAACATTTTGACGTTATTCCGAAACATGAGTGACATGGTTTCATAAAAACTAAATATAATGGTATAAGTTTTGGCAAATCACGAGTGCATTATTCTAGCAGAAGTACATTTTTCTCAGCGATCCCCTTTTATCAGCAGTTTACAGCAAAAATACAGACTTATTCATACTGAATTATCCAATTCTAAATATTTTGCTTATTGCGTACTTCGCCCTTAGGCACTACACGGAAAAGGAGGGATGCCCCTTGGAGGTCTTTTTAAGGGAAACTGTCTCGTATCCATGTTCTACATGGGGAAAACCACGAACCCGTTCGCCGGAACTCGATCCTCGGACCGAACTACCAGTGTTCAGCGGCTTTTACCGCTCGACCGCTGGTGGACCATTTCGAATAGTTTTATCAAGGCAGAAGTGATCTGGCAACCACGATGAGAGAAAACGACAACGTGGCTAGCTAGCTGCCATTATTGTGCTTGATTGCGTGCTGGGAGGCGCACGTATGCGCTGGCAAGAGTGTCCATCCAAACAGAAATAAAGCTACAGTCCATTAAATCCTAATGTTTGTGTTTCATGAGTACTTTTATTCTCGATCAAGTTTGATTCTTGAAATTTACAGTGTAGAAAATATCCATGGGGAAAATAAAGAAAACTGTTTAGTTCTCATTTGCAAGAGTTCTGATTGAATTTCTCTTAAGTTAAACGGTCAAAATCAAGTGGACAATCAAATTCTTACTCTACCTTCTTCACGATATCTTCTCTCTAGTAATTATTGTTCTCATGACTATAATATGTGGTTATAAATATCACGTAAACAAGACGGCAAAAGCATAGCATATTCGATGCATCTCCACGGGAAAATGTTGCATAACATAAGATCTGCATCCAGTAACTGGAGTCATACTCGACACGTATTTGAGCTGTCCAGAAATCGAGTCCCGGCTAGAGGACTGAATATTTTTCACGTCTTCTGTTTCATAAAAACCTAATGACTCTAATCTAATGACTGACTAAAAAGTGGTAGAGAATAATTCATCAGTATCAGCATTTGGTGATAGGTTTCGCTAATCCGTGATCGCCTTTTAAAAGGGGGAATATGTAAGGTATTTTCTCCCTCCTTTCCGCATGTCTTTATGGCGTAATTGGAAGCATACTCAACGCGTATACGCGTAAGTATGTTGAGGAGTCTCGGGGAGGATGTTGCACATCTTACCGGATCCAATTTATCCAATTAGATCCAATTTACTAATTGGGTTGTAGAATCATTAGCTTCAAAATAACCTAATGATTCTACAACCCAATTAGTAAATTGGATCTAAGCTGTAAACATAAATTTATAGATGGTATAAATATTAATGCATGTTTTCTGAAATGGATTATGGAATCATGAGCACGAAAACATAACCAGAAGAATAATTTTGAATTTCACTAAGATTCAAATATTGTTGTTACGACTTTCAATGCTTTATGCTATTGTCTCCAAATACCAGACCACCTTTTCAGTATGAAATAGGATAAGCGCTGAGTTGAAACCAATTTACGATGCATTTCGAGTAAATATTTAAATAATGGACAGTTATGCGTTTGTTTTTAAGGTGATTGTTTTGAAAGCTGAATCACCGATACCAGGACGTTTTGAAAACTGTCCTATGCTCAGAACAAGATGCGATGAATAATTGTAAAAGCATATTACGATTCACGCATATTTTACCTACGATCAAAAATACAAATGCATTCGTTGCAAAATTCACCATTAAAGTTGAAAAGTATCTACAAAGCAAAACCATTTTTGTGGCAATTAGTCAAATAAAACGTGCTATCTGAAAAGAAGAAAAATGAAATCTGAAGGTAACATTCATGAATGCTTCCTTCTTCAAATAATATTTCCCTCCCTTTTTTTGGCTGAGCTTAAGAAGATTAAAATAATCATTACATTAAAAGAAACCACATACTGGGAGTTTTCTACATCGAAATTAAGGAATGTTTTGGGGTTAAAAAGCCGAAGAAAGTAATTTAATGTATTATGTATCATAAACCGTTTCTTAAAAAATAGAAATTTATAATTGATAACAATAATCAAATTAATTTACTGCTTTCAAAATTTAAAAAAAAAAGTATTCTGAATATTTTCTATCTTTATTTGTTTCTGAATAAATTAAAATATGTTTGGCCTTTTTATCATTTTTTTAGAACCTCCAGTTTTCAAGAGACAAAAGCCGCCAGCGTATGGTAAGTACCTTTACACTTCTTTTCCTGCACATGGTAAACAATTAAACAATGTTAATAGGATTATCTCCAAATTTGAATAGATAAAAAGCAGATAAAAGCCTTTCAAAAGCACCGCTAGAAATAGAATAAGAAGAAGTGAACAATTTGTTTTGATTCGATGTAAACATCGCCCCGGAAATATTCTCATTCAATTTTATTTTAAATTCTGTAAAAATTAAATGAGAAACAAGGATAACAAAACAGGCTGCTTATGAATAGTTTATGCTTAAAACGAAAAAGATAGTACTTGATAGTACTCGATAGATTTATAATTTGAAAAGATAAAACTAATTATATGGCTCCATAAAAAAAGGGGTGAACCCCTTCGAAAGAATGGTATGGGTGTATGATAAACAGCATTAAATAATTATGTACTAACAAGACGCATTATTCCATTTGTTTATCACTTTCAAGCGGCTTTCATATTGAAAACATATCTGGTGTCTTCCTTGTACGGCTTTTTAAATTATAAAAAAGTTTTTCTGCACTTCATTTAAACTTTTATTTCCACGAATTTCATTGAGTGTATTTCTTATTCCATCACTTCAGCCTCAGAATTGGTCACACTAGAGTGACACATAAACTATCTTCTCCAAGCTGAAAATGAGCCTGTGCGTTTTAATTGTAATGTTTGTTTATCTGTTCGTCATATTTTAATTGAGTGTCCATGTTTTAATAGTCTTCGCCAGAAATATTTTAATAGCTGTGACTTACCTCTCGACCGTTTAATCGGAAGAGAGGTCAATTGTAATTTATTTTATTATTTAAAAGAGACTGGCTTTTATTACCTAATGTAATTTGTTTTGAAGATTGTGTCTTGAATTTTAATGTGTGCTTTTAACTTGTTTTTATATGACTTCATCCTCTGGATTTGGTACATTTGTCTACTTGTTTTTATTTATTGTATTTTAATTTCGTCAATTGTAATCAACCCATCTCGCGCTATAATCATCTTTGGTTTTGCGCCATAATCTCTCACTCACTCACTCCATCAATTCAGTTCTCAATTCGTGGCGAGGCAGAAATACATAAAAACTAAGAACTTCTTCAATAAAAATTGAAAAATACACAAAAACATAAAACACCAACTATAGTCAAAAGCAGTTTAAAAGAAAATTTACAATTAAAATTACAGTTTCTAAGCAAAAACAAGCAATTCGGCCAGAGGGCAAGATTTTTCGATGCACAAAACTAAGTTTCCTTCTGGTCCCATTGTGGAAACCACTCCGAGAGGAAAAACTTAAAACACCAAATACTGTTAAAAACAGATTTAAAAAGAAAAAAAAAATTGCAAATTAAAATTAGAGTTTTTACGTAAAAACAAGCAATTCGGTCAACGGGCAAGAAGACCAAATTTTCGGTATACAAAGTTCAAAGTTAACTTTTGGTCTCATTGTCCAAAAAGACAGTCACGTTGGTGTACCAAATGATTTAATTCATTATTCTAATAACAGTTTCGAATGTAAACAAATGGCAGCCTGGTAGGGCCTAGCGCGACTTGAACTTTTAACTGTTGATAATTCTACAACTATTGCATGCAACTATTGCAACTATTGCATTAACTAGAGGCATTAACCCCTTAGCCGGAACATCAGAACAGCATAATCCAATCACTTTATAAAGGTATTTTCTCCTTCCTTTCAGCATGCCTTCGTGGTGTAACTGTAAGCACGTTCGGCGGGTATTCGAGAGATCGAGGTTTGAGTCCCGGCTCCCGGCGAGGGTAACTGCTCATTTTCCAAGTCTCTTAAAACGAACTAATGTCTCTAAAACTTTTAATGCCAAACATCACACTTTACGAACATATAAGAACGGACATTCTGAATCTACCTTGCCGGTTAATAGTGTAGGAATATCGTGAGGCCGATTGCAATGAAAAGGGGAGGTGCACAAGTACATGTTATAGCAGTCCCATATAAAAACTTTCAGCGTTCTGAGGCTATTTGAGTTGTGAAAGATACAAGCCTACTTTCGTACAGACATCACGAAAGAATGTAATCTAAATCCATTTTACACCCCGTTTTGGGAAAGAGCCCTTTATTCTGTCCATACGTATAGATCTCACACAAAAACATCATTCAGATGGATTCAAAAGCCGTCAAAATGGATATATTCGTTGATATGATACCCGAAATCTTTCGCGATAACAATACTTGCTTTACTTTGTACAAGGAAGTAAAAACCCCTGATTGTATGTAAAACAGTTTACAGTCTTATAATTCCTTGAAATGTTTTATTTCATTCCAAGGAATTACAAGATGCATTATTTTAATGAGAAACTATCATATCGTTCTGTGTAATATTAAAATTCTATTCAAATTAATGCTAGTGATAAATTTCATATTAGCTCTCACAAATTAAACTGAAATTGTTATGAATTGAAAGAAAATAAATCATCATTGAGTTCAAAAATTGTTTCGAACTGCAAGATAATTTATTTAGTTGAACAAATAAATTGCCTTCATATATTTCTCAGCTTCGAATCTAATAAAATGTAAATTATTTGACTTGAGCATTGTTAGTTGCAGAACAATTTGCATTACAGTATTACATAATTATGAAAATATTTCATAAAAAGGATATTTAAATGCCATTTTACATCAACAGTACAATTCTAAGGTGGCACTTAAATGAAATACTCCTTCTTTGCATATATGAAGTACAAAAAATTCTTTAATGTGCGCTACCATTACTTATCGCTAGATTTGACTAGATGTACTAGCAATAGAATTAGGATATTAAACATATTTGAAAAGTGTAAAAGCTAAGTTTGCAGTATTTCATTTTAAATTATTAAGTAATTCCGTTATTTTCCACTAGCATTTTGAAATGGAAAATTTAGCATTTAAAAGAGTAAAAATAAAAGAAACATTTAAAACACAGATTCTTTACTATTTTTACTTCCTTATAAAGGAAGTAAAGGAAGAATTGTAATCTCAAAAAATTTCGACTATCATATTTCAATAAAAATATCCATTTAGTCTCTCTCGAATCCATTTAAACCACATTTTTGCTGACATCTGTACGTATGGACAAAATAAGACTCTTTTCCCAAAACGGATTGTTAAAATGGATTTAAAATGGCTTCAGATGAGATTTTTCCTTCTTTACATCTGTACGTACGCACTCGCAAAAACGAGTAGACTCAGAACGCTGCAATTTTGTATATGGGACTGTTATAACTGACTGTAACCAAAAGGGAGATATCTCCCTTTTCCTTTTATTCTTATATGTTGGTAAATTATGCATTTTTTTTTTTTTTGCTGTAAAAGTGATCGAATTATGTTGCTCTAATGTTCCAGTTAAGAGTTAGATGCCTTTAGCTAATCTGCATGCAGTAGTTGTAGAATAATAAAAAAATTAAAAGTTGCTTAAGTGCTACTAAGCTTAACGAAGCCTGCCATTTTCTAGCATTTGACACTCACTAGTAGAATAACGAGTTAAGTCGGTGCACAACTTCAGTGTCTTTTTGCCGAGTAGGACAAAAAGTGAAATTTCAGTTTTGTGTACCAGAAAACTGCCTTGCTGCCCGCTGGCGGAATTTTTTTGCTTGTTTTGTATTTTGTTGGTGTTGGTTTTGGTATGGTTTATTGGCTATCTGCTTAAGGGGGGATGCCGTCGTGGAGGACTTTCTAAGGGAAACTGGCTCGTATACACGCTACACATGGGGAAAACACGAAATCGACCCTTCAATGCCAGCCCAATGGGGGTTTTTTTTTTTTTTTTGTTTTCCCCTGATCGACCTACCAGGGATGCCCCCGCCTATACACGTCCACGATCGCCGTTCGCGGGATTCGAACCTCGGACCGAACTACCAGTGTTCAGTGACTTTACCGCTGATGTACTTATATAATTTTATCTTGCCGTAAAGTGCAAACTGAATTGTTCGAATGAGAAATAGATCCTTAATGAAATGAAATGCAGCAAAAAGTGTGTATGGTGGAATGAAATGCAGTAAAAATGGTGTGCGCATCAGATTTTTTATTTTCATTAAGATTTGCACATATAAAATTAAAGGGATCCCAACTTCTTTTGCCGATAAACAGAATTTTTTTGCTATTTTATTAAGGATATTTCCTTATTTAACGAATATAAAAAAATATCTGCGCAGTTTGCTTTTGTTTGACAAATTAAAAGAATAATTAATGTTCAGATTTTAATACTGCTCATAATTATGCTAATATCCTAAAGCGTCTACTCGTTTGAAGAAAATGAAATTTTGTTAATAGCGTGGGCGACGTTTAAAAATATAATTTTGTCAAAAGCTTTACGTTGAGAAATAGAGTCTTATAGGTACTTAAAATTAAGTACTTTTATAAAGTTCAAACAAATGGTTTTACATTTTTAGCCATATGTGTTTGCTCAATTAATGAAGCTAAAGGCCCTGATTTTTAAGAAAATAGTTATTAAAATATGATTCAGTAACACGATTACGAGAGAACTTGAGGATCCGGCGAAGTAAAATCATTGCGAAATCGGATATTCGAAAATTTTACATTTTCTTGTAGTCCAAATAAGCATTTTAATTTGATTCAGGTAAGAGTATATTGCTTTTTTGTTTATCATTTTTACTTCCTTATACTATCTAAAGGAAGTATAGTAATCGCGAAACATTTTGGGTATTACATTGCTTAGAAAATATTCATTTATACCGCTCTCGAATCCATTTAGACGATTTTTTGTGACTTTTGTTTTCCCAAATTGAATGTAAAGTGGATTTAAAAAGCGTTCAAAAGGGGTTTTACTTTTCGTGACGTCTGTGCGTACGTATGAACGTAGTACTTAGGTATGTACCTCGCATAACTCAAACGCGATTAGCAGTTGAACGTTCAAATTTTGTCCATTGGTCTACTATAACATCTACAGTGGTGGCCAAAATTGTGGATACTTTTGGAAATTTTTGTGTTTCTGAATTTTGTATGCTTATAGAAAATGTTACGTTTCGCAAAATGCAAATTTGC